TATTTATATTTATATATATATTTATATTTGTAGCATTAACATGTTAGAAGAAGAAAATTGTGGAAATAAACTAGCCAGTCAAATACATGTTTCAGCATGGAAAGTGGAAATAGAGAAATAAAAAGAACACTGGTTTCAGAATCTGAAGAGTGTGCTCTACCTACACTTCAGGATTATTGAAAGGCTCAAGTACAATGTTTGTGAAAATGTTTTATAAAACTAGCACAAGCTGTGCAAATTAGGGTGTTATCTTGCTTTGGGGTGTAATGAATGCTTAGTTATTGCCACATAGCCATTTTTTCCCGTCTTCTGGCTAGTGATCAGCCGAGGTGTCTTTACTGGCTGTCTTGAAAAACCCTATGATTTCTTACCCTGATATAAATCAAGGAGTGAGTTGTAGAGGGCAAGAGAAGTAGATATGGTAGGCCAGTATTTCCAAAAGAATGTGTTGGTTCATGGTTAGTTTATAGCACTTTTTTCATCCCTAGATAATCCAGAGAGAATCAAAAAAAAAAAAAATTAACAATGTTTTGGCTTATTCTTGAAATGTGGTACAAGTTTATCTTTAAGGATGTAATTAAAGTTCTGTCAAGATTTTATTTGCATGTTTCCCAGTGCAACCTACTGGAATTTTAAAAAATTATTTCATCTTACTCATGAAATGAATCAATACTTACAGATTGTGAGACATTTAATATTATAAACTCTATAAAGAACCCACCTTTCCTTCTTCCTTGTACTTTTCATTAATGTCTTGATATCTCTCTTTTATACAGGACTTTGCCTCCCGGACTAAACTGGCAATTCAAAATCTAGTACAGAAGGTTGGATTTTTTGGAATTTTGGCCTGTGCTTCGGTAAGTGAATTGTATTAAATATGAAAAATTCCAATAAATAGTGGATTTATATTTTGATCCAACTTGTTTTCAAAGATACAAGCCTGAATGTTTAAAAATGGTATCACTTTTAATAGGAATGTAATTTTATTAATCATCTTACTCATCAAATGAGCTGTTTTCTGTTAGATAGGTTCATATTTTGTTTATTGACTTTTAAGCATGCCATGATGACTTCAGGCCTAAATGGCTTGATTCAGTAAGAACAAAGGAGACAAAATCCATCCTTCCCATGAAGAATTTATAATGAAGTGCATTTAACCAAATAACAATGACTTCATTCTTTCCAAAGTTATAGATAAGTAGTCTTTTTCCAAAGTTTCAAGAATTAGTTATAAAGATGAATTCATACAAAACCCATCTTAAGTGACATTAACACCTAGTTAGGTAATTGGAACATCTGTGGCAAAGTTAAGGGCATCTTTGGTTACAGTGAACTCAGAAGCCATTTATGTCAGAAACTTAATCTCTCAAATTGCAACATTTGTGAAATTGATGTTCCTTGATGAGTTGGTGTTTATTCTGGTCCATTTCAAATATAATAAAAACAGTTACATTTGAAATGCAGCATTTTGATCCAAGTTTTCTTTGGTAGTCTGTACACACTTGTTGGTAGGCTGTACACACAACTGGGAACCTGATTGATATGATAAAAGCTGTAATTATAAGTAAAATTCACAAAACTGTTATCTACTGACATATAGCTACTTTATTATGTACTAGCACATGAGTACATTTCTGAGTACACCCTTTCCACGCCTTGGCAAAGCAAATGGCCAATAAAGGAGAACATTTGGTGCCAAAACTTCAAATGTGGTATTACCATTTAAATATCTAGAGATATTTAAAAACATACATGTGCCTGAATTGCTATCTTTTGACCTTGGCAATACTAGAAATTTTCATAATCTAACTTTTCTTTTTAGTATAGAAGCTCTTTATCATAATATTGATCTTAATTATTTGAGCAATTTATAGGTATGTTGTACTGTGTTATGACAGAGTTGGCTTTGGAGTCAGGTTCACTTAGGCTCCTAACCTGGTTTTCACTCTTAGTCAAGTTGCCCTCTTTGAGCCCTAGTTTTTTAATTTTCAAAATGGGACAATAAGATATTGCAAAGGCTGATGTGAGGATTATAGATGTGAACTAACACAGAGCCTAGAACATAAATGGTCAACCATTTTTTAATTGTTATTCATCAGCTTTGTGTCAGCCATTGTGTGCTTGGAATAAAGAAGAGAAAGGTATATTGCCTTTCTTCAAGGACCCTGAAGTCTAGTGAGAGTGACCATTGAAATGCTTTGAGAAGTATAAAAAGTGCTGTGGAAACCCAGCAGAATGGGATTAAGCTGAGAGGCTTAATGGATAATAATGTTCTTAGTTTAGAGGCTAAGAGAAAAAGCCTGGGAGCGAGGTTTATTGCTGGGTTGAAATCCTGCCCTGCTGCCATTTATACTGAAGGAATTACTTAACCTGTCTCACTGTTCTTATCTGTGAAATGGATGGAACAGCATCATCCTTAGCATTGTTTGGGGAATTAAGTGAGTTGATGATGTAGAAATCTTAGAAAAGTACCAAACAAATCAAAGCGTTCAGTAAAAGTTAGCTTTTATTATTCCTGGGGAAAATACAAGTATCTTTGATTTATTAAAGCAAAAAATATTTATTCCTTGGCACTCGTCTATGCCCATATCCAAAGTGCTAAAAATCTACTTTTTATACTAGCCAGTCCTCTTTATATTTGATTAGTCAATATTTAACATAAATTCATAGATTAATTTGGCCCTCTAAAAACTGTTTTTAAGGATATTTTTAATACATTAAGATATTAAAGATATAAATACTTGATTTAAGGTAAAAAGCTTATTAATTAGTTATTTGCTGTTAATAAACTAAAAATAAATAAAACTCATAATTGAGGGGAAATCTCAAAGCTACTTAATAGTTCTCTTAATTCTAACTTTCTGTCTACGTAGAGTTGCAAAAAAGAATAACAGGCACATGTAACAACAAATTCATTGATTATTCTCTTCTGAGAGTAACCTACTTACACTGAGGTGTCCAATGTGTTAACAAATTCCAATTTTTATCTACTCTGATTTACATATCTTGTATACTTTAATTTGCATTTCAACATGAGGTGGAACCTGATAATAAAGGAAAACAGTGAAAATTGTAATTCATAGAGTTCTGAGGGTTTTATGAAAAAATAAAAGAAATGACAGTTGTAATGCTACGCAAATGATATGTGGTTGTAAGACAGATGAAATTGCATAAAGGCTTTGAAATGGATGGGAAAAACAAAACTGAGCTATTGAATCCAAGTGTTACTAACAAAAGAATACTTAAATTCTAATGTAGTCATGGCACTGTTTTTAAAAAGAATATAAATGACAAATATCTTTTAAAACAACTAGGCTTTTCTTTGAAAATTCAAAAATAAAATTATGTAAATTAATTAGCTTATAAATGGTGCAGCCTACAGCCACAAGGACAGAGTACTTCTGTGGGAGAAAAATGGATGAAGTGCTCAAAAACAGCTTGTGGTTTCTTTGCATTTTTTACATGAATTGTCTTTTTGCGTTCTTGAAATGTGGGAATGTTTGGAAAAGGTATTTGTTGTGAATCACTTCTTTGTCTGGGACTGAGTGTTCAAAACATCTGAATCAGTGTTGTATTTCCACACTTGAGTTTCTTTCTAAAACATATCACACAGCTCCATGGCCTTGGGCTCTCATAAAATAAAATACAAATAATTAATTTTTTTTTATGTTGAGAAGTGAAATTAGATCAATTTATAAATGTATTTGTGAATTTACAAGAATGTTTGATATAGATGTGAGCACTTTCTAGATAGTATTCTTATTTCAGGGTAAAGATTTCCAAACCTTAGTAACTACTGAAATAATCTTAAGGCTTTTTTTTCTTCATTTATACCTCACCTTAGAAAACAGCTACCAAATAGCCAAATATCTGCTGAATGGTATTAAATTCCTGTGAATCCATTGGCTTTATCCAATTCTAATGTGATAGAAAAAAGTATGTTTTGGGGACATTAGCCATAAGTAATACAAGCAAAAGGACAGCTGGGTTTGCTTTGAACAGATTGAACAGTCTGATATGAATATGAAACTCAATTTATAGACACATTAGAATTCTTGCCTAACCTTCTAAACTGTCTAGTACTGATCCGGGAACCCATACCTCTCTTTGCAATGTAAATAAGGCGTTACCTGTTCTTTGGATTATATGTGGAAGTCCCATTTTAATTTTTTTTTTTTTTATAGATTCCAAATCCTCTATTTGATCTGGCTGGAATAACATGTGGACACTTTCTTGTACCTTTTTGGACTTTCTTTGGTGCAACCCTGATTGGAAAAGCAATAATTAAAATGCATATTCAGGTAATTATACCCTCTTATTCCCTGCCTAATGATGAAGAGCCAGTTAAAAGGCATTAAAACATATTTCCCTTGCTCATTCCAAGGCAAATTGGTAAGATGCTGGGTCTGCTTCTTTAGGCTGGTAGCGTGCTTAGGTATTCAACTATGGTATGTCATTTAGAGTTTAATGAATTTCCTGTTGGAAAATTGTGCCCCTTTATTATTTTTTTCCTTTTTTTCTTTCTTTCCTTCTTTCTTCCTACCTCCATTCCTTCCTTTTTTTTTTATTTCACTTTTTTTCCTTGTGAAACTGTTTATTCAAGACTTTTACCAAACAAAAATAGTATTCCTATATAGAAAAATACATATCATTTTCACATACATAGTCCCAAAAAACGTATCTTTAGTAACCATGAGCTGAGAGAATATTGCCTTTCGCTAATTCTACTTTTCTTTTACACACTACATATAACGCTTCCTCTGAAAAGACCAATATCCTTTACAGAGAATCAGCCAGATGTTAGTGTGGGGTAGAAGGAGGAAGAAAGGGGCCTCCAAAGAGTCAAAAGATGTGGATTATGGTTAGAGAAGTGAAAATCTGCTAGTCTTCAAAGCCACTTTTAACAAAATCTTTAGGACGGTGTGTGTGTGTGTGTGTGTGTGTGTGTGTGTGTGTGTGTGTATTATATGAATAGAGAAGAGAGAAGAGACTAAAAATTTTAATGAGGGGAAATAGTATGTGCTTCTAGGACTGTGATATGAATTGTTTCCTTCTAAGGGCAAATCTCACCAGAATAAAATAAAATTAACCTGGAAAGAATTTCTTAATCAATGAGGTTTGCAACAAAGAGGCATTCACCAAGGGAAAGGCAAGAACAGTGAGTAATGTCTGTGCCCTGGTATGATTCCTTAATAATTAAAAGCACGGCTATCCCCCAAGCTTCTTAACACTTCGTTACCTCTAGTTCTTAGAAGAAAAGAATAAAATAGGAAAATTTCAGCTGCTTCTACCTGCCCAGTTTCAATATTAGATTTTGGCATTTGAGGTGAATTTTTAAACCACTCTCCTTCCATGATAATCACTCAAAATTTCAAGAATATGTTTTTTTCTCCTTCAAGGAGTATATTTTCTCCCACTTACATTAAGTATATTGTTCTGTGAACATGAGTTTTTTAATACTGGAATGCTTGTTACTTTGGTAAATATTGAAAATACCACAACAGGATTTCTCAAATAATAAAATATTGTAGTGAGTAATGAACTATTTTGCGGTGTATCTGAAGATAATGTTTTTCATAATATTTTTAGTTCTTTCTGGGGTAAGAAGAAGCTATCATTTAGCTTTTCAGAGTCCTTTGAAAGTATTACTACCTAAGGAACAATAACAGATCATTTTAATTTCCTTGGTAACAGCAACTTCTCCAGGAATCCTTAAACTTTATGCGTCCTGCTTTCTGTAGTGATTTTTTATAAATTATAGTACAATTTATTATGCTAAAAGTACCCTATAGTGATAAAGTATGCAACTTATATCAGACCTTTCATTACAGAATATTAAAAAATAGTATATGTTCAAAACAGTCGCAGTAGATTTTTTTTTGAAGTTATGATAATGCTTGATTTTTTTTTTACATAGTACTTCATACTTTAATACTTTAAAGCACTTAGGGTATGTCGTTTGATTTAATCATTATAACCTTGGGATAGATAGATTATTGCTCCCATTTTGTAATTATCAAACTTACAGGTGTTAATAAGTAATAGCTACCTACGAGAGGAAGTAACAGCTGGAATTTGAACTCTAGTCTTTTGGCTTCAAGTTTAGTGTTTTTTCCAGTCTTTTGCATTGCCTTCTTAACTATAAATTATTTATATGATTGAGGAAACTGAATTGTTCAGTGCCTGCTATTTATAAGGACTTGTGCCAGGCAGTTGGCACTGGTTATCTCAGAGCAGTTCTGTGAGGTGGTTAGTATTCACAGATGGGGAACTAAGTGTTAAAGACGACAAAACACATGCCTGCGGCCCAGGAAGTCAAGCCAAACTCTATAAAGTCACAGCTCGTTCCCTGTTTCTACGGGTAAGAAGAAAGAGCAAGCTGAAATCCATCTATGTCTCTGGAAGGAAAGAATCTGAGTTCCTTCACTAAACAGACCATGGGATGTGTTTGCTGTTTTCCACTGTATCAGAGACATACTTTCTAAAGTCATGTCACTAGATGTAGTTCAGGGCAGCAAACAGTTCTTATTCCTTGGGTAAGCAATATTAATGAGTAATATAAACATTACAACTTTCTGAAATAACGGGAAAACACCATGCACAGATTTTTCTGTATTCTAATAGTAAACCTGCCTCCTCTTCTGGTTCTCTTCCCTGGTTTTTCATCTTCTTTAAACTAGACAACTCCTTGATACATATTGTTATTTTTATTGATATCTTGCTATCTGTTAGACCTCCCTTAAAAATTTTAAATCAGCCCACCTAATAATGTTAGATCAGGATTTCCCCTCCCACTGGACAAGTTCAAGGACTCTGCCTATCGAAGGACCCTTAGAAACCTTAATAATGAAGAAGGTGAGAAGTCAGTCTGCTCGTGTATAGTATTTTATGCACCATGTGTTATAATTTACTTATGTGGCTTGTGTATTGCCTCTGCCTTCCCACCACCACACACACATATATAGGAATATAAGCTCCATGAGGCCACGGATTTTTGTCTCTCGGATCACTGAGGTGTTCTGCTGCCTAGAATAGCACTGGCATGTAATAGGCATGCAGTAACTATTCAATAAATGAATCTAAGGTTCTTCTTACCATTGAAGGACCCTTCTTTTACAGATAGGTTCTCTTTGTTCATTTTGCCACCATTGGTTCCTTATACCCTTCTTTTTTTTCCCCCCTACTCTCCCCTTCCCCTTGTTTCCTCAGTGCACATCGTTGAGTGGGTTGGTTAGTGGTCTGTGCCTTTTATTTGGTAGAATCTCCACTCAGACCTCCAGCCTGAATGACACTGAGACTTAACGTTCTTTAATGCCTGACACATTAAGAACAAGACATTTATGGGCCGGACGAGTGGCGCGTTGCTTAAGAGCTGGCTTGGGACACCAGCTCTGAGCAGCAGGGCCCCAGTTCGGATCCCACATGGGGGTCAGTGACACTGCCCTCTACAGCTAAGATGCTGAACAACAGCTCGACCTGGAGTTGGGCTGCTGTGAGTCACCAGCGACGGCGTAGGCTGCAGCCCTTGCTGCAGTGGGTTGCCATAAAGCTACCATGTGTGGCTGGCAGCCAGCGTGAGCAGCTGGCAACTGGTATGAGCTGCCAAGAGCCGCCGTGAGCGGCCTTCCAGAGGCTGGCGACCCATCTGCCTCTCCCGGGAAGAGCGCAATGATAATACCAACATGGGCCAGTGAAGCGACATCCTCCACAACTAGACTGAAAAACAAAAGGACAGCAACTTGTCTGTTCCCCTTCCCCCAATTCCCAAGCGCTGTTCCCATCCCCCCAATTCCCCAATAAAAATCTTTAAAAAAAAAAAAGAACAAGACATTTATATCTTGCCAAGAACAATGAATTTTCAAGCTGTTGCATATAACAAGAAAGTTTTGTTCTGTTTTCAAGCAATGACATTGTGCAATTATCTGGCTTATTTTGAATGTTAGGAAATGAAGGTAGGGAAAGCTTATGATGGTGAGATCACTGAGAGATAAAACCATTAGCTCCATTTCTTAGTAAAAGATTTATAGGTCCAAGTAACCAGCTTTTAGTCTGGATACTAGAAGGACCCTCATATAGTAATGCTTTTCTCCCTAAATGATCTATAATAGTTTTATTAGCTTCATAGTCTTCATACACCATTTGTGTAACATTGTTTATAAAATCATCATCCATCTTGTAGCTGTTTGATATCTATATGTGCTTGCTTTTTCCACGAGACAGGTAAGTATCCTTTTCAAATTAATTGATACATAAACAAAAACCAAAAAAGGACTACAAACTTTTTTAGGCTTTTTCCCTTATACTGTGCAGCTGCCGATGTCTCTTAACACTAGGACATGAAGAAAATGTCAGTGCCTCATTATTCTTCTACCTAAAATAATAAACTTTAGTCTAAAGTAGGTACTTTGCTGAGACTTACAATGAATGGATAAGAAGAAACCTATTATTATTTATTTCCCTTCCCTCCCCTTTGGTTGCATAGGCTAAAGTTATTATTTAATAAACAATAACAAAGCACTAAAGAGTTTGTTATCAAGAATTTGGAGAGATAATATAGAATTACTCATAATTTAATCAGAGTCATCAATCCTATAAAGCTAAACTTTAATATCACCTTCTTGAATCTCTAATTAATTGTATTTATGTGACCTTCTCTTTCTCTGAACTTCTATAACACGTTGCTTTTACCACAAATGGCATATACAGTCATATATATGTATGTGTGTGTGTGTGTATATATATATATATGGTATTTACCATGTTTGTACTGTGTATAGAAAAAAATTGTCAACATCTTCAGGGCATTGAAGAAGTATTTTTCTCATCTTTGTGTTCCCTGAAAACCCTTAATAATTCCTTATATTATCCACAGTAAGCACTTTTTGTAATATTTGTTGAATTAAGAATATTTGCTACCCGTTAGCCCTAAAGGCCTCTTTACTTGTAAGAAAGGTAAGGTATCAATATCTTTAATTAACGGAGAATACCTCAATAACACCAAGTTGAAAACGACCCAGGTCTAATAAAGATCCTCAATAATCTGTTGATGCCTTTGTTTGTATCCTAACCCTGAAAGTCCAAGCTCATTCTGAATCTGAGAATGGAATTTTCATGATACTTCCATGAAGGATGTACAGTCTTTTCAAGATCCCCTGGGTTAGATTTCACTGAGCTCCTGTCATCAGGCTGATCAGCTTTAATTTCCGTGGTGGGGGCTATATGGGAACCCTTGATTTCAGTTGTATACACCATTCTAAGATACATAAAACATGTGGAATGTCCACCCTGTCTTGGGTTTCGTGACTCATGTTTTTCCCTCAGACATGGTCATGTATCTTAGTAAGACTAGAACAGTGCTTAAGGAAAAACATCTTTAAAATACAACGTAGGCAGCAAATGGTGTTTCTTATTTTTTCATAAAGAATTTTTAAATTGCAATTAGGGGCAGCACCTCAGCTTTTTAGACTTATCAGAATTGTGAATTTGCATTGTTTTTTTTTTTTAATGAGAAATATTTATTGTAAGTGGTGTTTTCTTTACAGAAAATCTTTGTTATAATAACGTTCAGCAAACACATAGTGGAGCAGATGGTGGCTTTCATTGGGTGAGTAATTCTTTAAGGAGTAATATTAATATCATTGTGTATAAAAGACTTTATTAAGTTAGAACTGTTATGATAACTCTCTTTTGGAGGAAATATCTTTTGCCCCATTATTAGTTAAATTGAAGAAGACCCTCTTGCCCTGCAGCAGGGAAGGATAAAGCTCAGATTATCTTTTTTAATGTTAAACCAAACATGTATCAAGTCATAAAATTCTTGATTTAAAAGAGACTTTGGAGTTTGAGACTGTTGTCCTCCAAAGAAATAAGAAATTCTTTTTATATAAAAAGCATGTGTGTCATTACAGTTTAATAGTGCTTTAGTACAGTGCTTTGATTTTTAGCCAGATACACAGTTGCATTTACTTTAAATACAAACTTTACATAAAATATTAATATTTCGTTAGATAATGATAATATGGTATAATATGTTATGAACCTGTTACTTCACGAGAGAAAAATCAGGCCATTTTAAAAAGCTACTGTACAAAGTTTTGATTTTTGTATTTACAGAAAAGACCAGTTTTAACATATGCTTTAAATAATGTCACAAATTTGTGGAGTTGACTTTGATAAAACAGTAAAGAAAAACTCATTTTGTTTGGTTACTTAAATTAACTGTCAACTGAAATATGAATCCAGTAAGATATTCAGTGAGACTTTTTTAATATATAATTTTCTATTCAGTGTTTATTACAGCGGAGTGGTTTTCTTTTCATTTGATAGTATAACTGCCCAGTGATGGAAACGTGTTAAGTTGAAATGCCCTTTATGTAGATTTGGCATAAATCTTTATCTTAAAAGCTATTTATAAAACAAAACATTTATGAAATTTTTTTGCTATTTTTTTAAAAATTGCCACATAGAGGTTAGTTCATGAGTATTAATTTTATTCTTTAAGCCATATATTATATATTTCCTCTTGTCTATATGTGGTATGTTTTATAATAAATACTTTTTAATATTTTCTGTTTAGTTTTTAATGCAATAATTGAGGAAAAACATACTCTTGAGAATATACTCTGTGGAGCCAGTCATTAGTTTTATTCCTTCCTAAGCTTCTGATTAAAATTGTGGATTATAGCTTGTACATTCAAATTTAATTAGTCCAGTTTTTGGTTGCTGGAATCCTTACAAATAAAATGGTTTACAAGTAGCCATGTGTTGCATTTAAAAAGAAAGAAGGAATATTCTTATTTTTTATTTTTTAAATACAAAGAAGATATTTCCTATCTGTTTTTAGAGATTACTGTCCCAGCCTGAGAGAGTTCTGAAGGACATGTAGGTAAATGCCACACAGAACCACATGTTGTGGGAATGACTGGGTTCGCAGCACCCTACATTCTTCCTTTTTCCTTTTCCCATACTGAACATTTTAGAAAGAAGTTTCTCAGCTACTTCTACATCCTCACCACCTTTTGTTTTTCCAGCCTTTGGAGTTTCTAAGAAGATAAATTAGTTACCTACCTATGTTATCTACCTACATCCAGTTTCATTCCCTTCCAATCTGTTCGCCATACTGCAGTTAGTAACTTTTTAAAAACCTTAATCTGAGCAAGTTACCACCACTGTCCTCACCCCCCAGTTCATCATCATCTTCCTAAAACCCTTTACTTTTTTCCCCTTTATTTTTAAGAAAAGCTAAAACTCCTTAACATGGTCTATAAAGCCTTGTGTGATCTGTCACCTGTAGTTTTCTCTGCTTGAGTCTCCCACCACTGACCCTGGCTCGTGCTTTTACCTTTGCCTAGTTCAGGATTTCTCAGCCTTGCTACTATTGACATTTTAGGCCAGATAATTCTTTGTTGTTGGGGTCTGTCCTGTGCATTGTAAGATATTTAGCTGCACCAGCAGTATCTCTCAGTTATGACAAGCAAAATGTCTCCAGACATTGCCAATTGTCCCATGGCAAGTAAACCCCCATTACCACCACCAACCCACTGAGAACCACTGGTCTACATAACGCCCTCTAGATTTCAGCTATTATAGTCACAAAATGCCTTTCCTCACTACATCAAATACCCTCTTTCCTAGGGACGTTTATTCACAGCAGTATGTACAACGTGCACTGACAATTGTATTGTTACATCTGTGTTTAAGGGTGTATGGTTATTTTCCTACCACTAACCTGTAAGCCTCTTACTGGCAGAGGCCATGCCTGTTTTTGTTCACTGTGTGGTCCACAGCACTTGGCGTCTTGATTGACATAAAGCAGGTGCTAGATAAATATCTGGTGAATAAATGAACACGTGGTGTCTAAATAAAGATCTGGCCAATAAAAATTAGCAAATTATATGTATAGCCCAGATTTTTCTGTTTCCCTAGCCGTTGGAGTTTCTAAGAAATTATATTACTTATCTATAGTAAATAGAAATAAAAGTGTCCTTAAACTTAAACCAACATTTTAAAGTTAGAATTTCTTATGCTTTTCAGAATCATTATCTCCTTCCCTTATCTCCTCTAGCACAGCCCCTCAAAAAAATCCAGTGACCCTTTCTTCTTAAAGAAGGTTTCGCATAAAGTTATTCTAAGATATTTAAGACCTGTTTATTCTGATTTTTATTGAATTAGATCGGTGGTGTCATATTTTTTTAAATTGTTTTCAGGAGACAGATGTTGGAATGTCCTGATATCTTCATCTTTTCCCCAGCAATGTCTGTAGGGATTACAGACAACTTCTTTTCAAGGCAACATATTAAATAGTATAAATAATAAATTTTCAAATGATAACTAATAAATAGACTCACCAAACTTAAACTGAAAATTAAGTTAAAACAAGGAGAATGAATTTTTAGTATACCTAAAATTATTTATATCAGAATAAGTAGCTTAGCAGTTTATTTCAGAAAAGGGAAAAACAGTCACATTCTGTAGACCCATTGCTGAGGCGAACTCAAAATACCACCTGTAGCTTGCTGTAGAAACATCCTCCTTTGATTATTAGTTCTTCCCTGTTCACACCGTTAAAACTCTAAATAGTATAGCAAACCATCAAACTAAACTAGTAAATTTTGGAATACAACCTTTTGAAGGATATTTAAAAATTACTTGCCTGCAATTAAGGGAGTGATGAATTACCATGGTAGAGAAAAAAAGTCAAAAGACAAGACCAAAAACGTGTCAGCAACAGTTCAAATCTAAAATAAAATTATGAGATACTAAGGCAAGAAAAGAATGAAAAATCCCAAGAGTAAGGGCAGCTATAGAACGGAAGATGAAGAGAACACACAGGCTTCAGACAAAACAAATCTAGATTTGAATATGAACTGTGCCACAGTTATTTAAGTTTGTGTCTACTTTTATTTGCTATACTTTCAAACAAAAGGAGTTGAGTAGTGTTTTTTTCCGGTTTAGGAGACTACTGATAACCTTTCCAACTTCTAGTCAAAATGTGAAATGTCCTATATCAAAGTATTTTCTAGTTTAGTTGAAACATACTCATATCAGTGATTTAACATTCCAAGGCGTGTGGATTTTTAAAATACCTTTCCTCTGAAGTTCTGTATTGCCTGTGTTCTTAAAGTCTCATTTTCCAAAATTTCTACTGACTGAACAGAAAGGTAGACAACTTGCTAGTAACTGTTTCTGTGTGCCTTGGGGAAGATTGAGGGAAGGCAAACTTTTTTCCTTGAAGGAAGTACCTATTTCTTTACTTTATTCTCTGATCAGTAAAATGTGTTAAACCGGGACAGAGTTTTTCATCAAAGTATATATGAGCATACCTCAGTTTTGTTTCTTTTTTCCAATTACAGTTGATGTTCAATATTACTTTATATTAGTTTCAGGTGTACAGCATAGTGGTTAGACATTTATGTAATTTACAGAGTGATCCCCTGATTAGTCTGGAACCCACGTGGCACTGTACATAGTTATTACCATATTATTGACTATATTCTCTATGCTGTACTTTACATCCCTGTGACTATTTTGTAACTACCAATTTGTACTTCTGAATCCCATCACATTTTGTACCCAGCCCCCCAACCAACCTCCCTCCCATATAAGAACCATCAGTTTTTTCTCTGCATCTATGAGTCTTTCTATTTTATTTATTCATTTATTTTGTTCTTTAGATTCCATATAAAAGTAAGATTATATGGTATTTTTCTTTCTCTGCCTGACTTATTTCATTTAGCATAATACATACCCTCCAGGTCTATCCATGTTGCCACAGAAATAATTCTTGAGAATACTATTTTTTTAACATGATGAGTATTCTACATAACAATTATTATGATTACTGTTTACTTCTAATTGCAGCCATGTGGATGGGTGTTTATCCTTCTTTTATTGATAAGAAAATGGGCTCTAAGTGGTTATAAATAACTCACATAATTTTTTATTTTAGTCTTTTTCATTCATAAAAAGGGGTTCATACTATATGTAACCTTTTGGGACCTTTTACTTATTATATTGCTGAAGATTATTAATTTTGACTGCTATATATTATTCCATTGGGTAATTATTCATTTACTCTCTCATTGATGGACGTTTGGAATGTTTTCGTGTTTTTTGCTGTTTTGAACAACATGAGCATTTCTTAGTGTAAGATGGGTGAGCACATAATAAGTAGCCTAAGGGTATGATGAAAAGGATAACACAAAAGAGGGAAAAGGTAAATAAAGAGAGATTGGACATAAGCAGCATAACCCTTAGTTTAGATAACTTAGTTTCAGTAATTTAAGATAACTTAGTTTTGTCTAGGGCCAAACTTGGGTAAAATCTCACCGCAGGTGTGCCTGTGGCCTGCCAGGCCAGTCTACGCACCTCCCCCCAGGTGGCAAGAAGAGAGTTAGTGTTGACCATTACATCTCTGGTGGTGAGGTTTAAGTATTAATTTTATACAGGTTTGAATGCTATGCTGGTGACTGAAGGAGATACCCTTTCCCCAAAGGGCTTCTAGTTGCAGTGTCTATGGAGTGGCCTAGCTAAATATGATGCCCTAAATATCCTTTGGGCCCGTGATATTTTTAGTACAGCATGTCTTTGTATGCTAGTCCTAAG